CTTTTTCTGTTTAGTTTTGTAGTTTGTTGGAAGTTATTAAAACCAGCCTTTCTGCTATTCATCAACTGAGTGTTGTGTCAATTTTCAGAGCACTAGGTTTAAAAACCTGCTTTCTAAGTGCAACACAGTCTGGACTCTGCTTCCCGCCTACGCTTCATTGCCCCGGCAAGGAAAACCATTGGTGGTGCTGTGTCCGTCTGTCTCCACGTGACCACTGGCAAATGTGTGTTCATTGGTTGTGACCAGCATCAGGGGCTCCCGGGGGCTGTGTGTCTGTCCATCTCCACTGCCCTGCATCCACGGTCCTGGCAGAGGTACCCACATCTGTACAGCAGATTTCATAGATTTCATAGACATTAGGGCTGGAAGGGACCTCGGAAGATCATCAAGTCCAGCCCCCCGCCCAAAGGGCAGGAAGTCAGCTGGGGTCATAGGATCCCAGCAAGATAAGCATCCAGTTTGCTCTTGAAGGTGTTCAATGAAGGCGCTTGAACCACCTCCGGTGGCAGGCTGTTCCAGACCTTGGGGGCTCGGACAGCAAAGAAATTCTTCCTTATGTCCAGCCTGAAACGATCTTGAAGTAGTTTGTGACCATTCGACCTCGTCATCCCTTGGGGCGCTCTGGTGAACAAACGTTCCCCCAGATACTGGTGGTCACCCCTGATAAACTTGTAGGTGGCCATCAGATCACCCCTAAGCCTGCGCTTTTTCAGGCTAAAGAGCCCCACGGCTCTCAGCCTGTCATCGTAGGGTCTGCTTCCCTGACCTCTGATCATGCGCGTGGCTCTTCTCTGGACTCTCTCAAGCTTCTCCACATCCTTTTTGAATTGTGGAGCCCAAAACTGGACACAGTACTCCAGCTGCGGCCTCACTAAGGCCGAGTACAGGGGGAGAATGACGTCCCGGGATTTGCTTGAGAGACGTCCCGGGATTTGCTTGAGACGTCCCGGGATTTGCTTGAGATCATCGAGTCTGACCCCCTGCATAGGCAGGGAAGAGTGCTGGGTGGCCCACTTGCTGAGCCTGTCCAGGTCAGCCTGGATAACCTGCCTGTCTTCTGGTGTGGATGCTTTGCCCCAAAGTTTGGTGTCATCGGCGAACTTGGCCAGTCCGCTTCTGACTCCAGTGTCCACATCATTAATGAAGATGTTGAACAGTATGGGTCCAAGGACAGAGCCTTGGGGGACCCCACTGGTCACAGGACACCACGATGAGCGACTTCCATCAATTACTACCCTCTGGGTCCGACCCCGGAGCCAATTTTCCAGCCAGTGGATCGTGGAGAACCCAAGGCGACAATTGGCCAGTTTCTCCAAGAGGCGATCATGGGAAACCAGATCGAAGGCTTTTTTGAAGTCAAGATATATGACATCAATCTCTTCTCCCTTGCCCAGGTGATAGGTCACCTGGTCGTAGAAGGAAATGAGATTGGTCAAGCAAGACCTACCGGCAACAAACCCGTGCTGGCTATCCCTTAAGATGTTAGTGTTGGCCAGTCCGTTAAGGATGGCCTCTTTAATAAACTTTTCTAAGATCTTCCCCGGGATAGAAGTCAGGCTAATGGGCCTATAGTTAGCCGGATCCACTTTCCTCCTTTTCTTGAAGATAGGCACCACATTGGCCTTCTTCCAGTCTTCGGGCACTACACCCGAGCGCCAAGAGTTTTCAAAGATCCGTGCTAGAGGCTGGGCTATGATGCTCGCCAGCTCCTTGAGTACCCTGGGGTGAAGATACCCAGATACAACCAGCACAATAATCCCAAGTGCTATGAGGACTGTGCCCCACACAGGGAAATGCCCTGAACCTGCAAACCAATGACCCCAGTCAGAAGTGAGACCCCAGGGGTTACTCTGGAGCCTCAGCTTCTGCCTCAGAGGAGCCCTCAAGTGCCCTGTGGAGGGGTAAACCCCACCCCACTACTTACCCTGGTCCCCAGTGGTGATGCTGGTGGTAGACCCATGTCCGTGCTTAGTTGGTGGGAACAAGGCAAGTTCTCGATGGAGACACAAGGTAAGGGGGTGATGGGGAGGTTTGGGCGGATGGTGGTGGGGGTGAGAGACAGTGTTGAAGGCCTTCCTGAAGTCCAGAAAGACTACGTCCACCATGACACCTGCGTCCAAGGATTTTGTGACCTGATCATAGAAGGCCACCAGGTTGGTCTGACAGGACCTGCCTCGAATGAACCCATATTGGTTGCCCCAAACATGATCTCCCCTGCTGGTCCCTCGCAGATGTGCTCCTGGATGATTTTCTCAAAGAGCTTCCCTAGGACCGAAGTAAGACTAACAGGCCTATAGTTTCCTGGGTTCTCCTTCCCCCCCTTTTTGATAATGGGGACCACATTGGCCCTTTTCCAGTTCTCCGGCACCTCGCCAGAGCACCGCGAGTGCTCGTAAATCCGGGCCAGGGGTCCCGCCATGACCTCTGCTAATTCCCTCAGCACTCTGGGGTGGAGATCGTCAGGACCTGCTGACTTGAACACGTCCAGCGCCACCAGAAGTTCCCTGACTAGGTCCTCACTCACCCTGAGCCTGGCAGCGCCTCCCCTGGGTCCGTCTGGGATCCCGGTGGGGGGGATGCCCTGCCCCTGCTCAAAAAGATAGAGGCAAAGAAATTGTTAAAGAGGTTGGCTTTGTCATCTGGTGTGACCACCAGATTTCCTAGCAAATCCTGCAGAGGCCCCACATTACCCGGAACCTTCTTTTTACCCCTTATGTATTTAAAAAATGATTTCTTGTTGTCCTTGATCCAGGTCGCTAGTCCCAGTTCCATCTCCGCCTTAGACTTCCTAACAGCCCCCCTGCAGTCTCAAGCAATGGAGGTATAATCCTCCGAAACTTAGACGCCTAAATCCTTATGGAAAGTCAGCGGGATTTAGTTCCTAAAACACACACAGCTGCTTTAGAATATATGCTTTCTATATTAAATATCTGATGATGGCACATGCCTTAAGGAACGACCACTCTTCCTGGACTGGTCTTTCACAAGTCCCGTGAGATGCCCCTGCCCATTACGGGACAGGGACGCCTAAGTGAGGGTGGTTTCTTGCCCTCCATCAATGCTGACCTTGTGAAGGAACAGCTTGAGAGGCTGGACACCTTCAAGTCAGCCGGCACAGATCTTAGAGAGCTCCTGGCGCTCTGGTGAAGTTTTTTTCCCTGCAGGCAAGCCCAGCTTCAGTTTTGAAACATTTCAACTGCCCCTCATTTCATTTCAAGGCTGTTTCAAAGCCCTTCATTTCATTTTGATTTTGCTGTTTCAAGCTCAAAATGAGTCGAAACAAAACAGCCGGCAAAATTTCACACAGCCCCAGTTCACACCACTCAGAATCCCCCCACAACTCCCTGCAAATTTCCTCCTATCCCCACAGACCAGGCCAGTTCATGTAGCTTGTGTCGTAATGTACTTTGGGGGAAATCCAGACAAAGATACAAAATCAGGGGCATAAAGTGTACCCTTGTTGCCAAGAAAGCTAACGGCATCCTGGACTGCATTGGTAGGACCGTTGCCAGCAGGTCACAGGAACTGATTCCTCTGCATTCTGCACTGGTGAGGCCACATCTGAGGTCCTGTGTCCAGTTTTAAGCCCCCACTACAGAAAGGATGTGGAAAAATTGGAAAGAGTCCAGCGGAGGGCAACAAAAATAGCTCAGGGGCTGGAGCACATGACTTGTAAGAAGAGACTAAGGGAACTGGGCTTATTGAGTCTGGAGAAGAGAGGACTGAGAAGGGATTTAACAGCAGCCTTCAACTCCCTGTAGTGGGGTCTAAAGAGGGTGGAGCTGGACTGTTCTCAGTGGTGGCAGGTGACAGAACAAGGAGCAATGGGCTCAAGTTGCGCTCTCTCACTAGGAGGGTGGCAAAGCACTGGAACAGGTTACCCAGAGTGGTGGTCCATCCTTGGAGGTTTTTAAGACCCAGGTAGAGAAAGCTTTGGCTGGGATGAGATGTTTGGAACTGGTCCTGCTTTGAGGAGGTTGGACTAGATGCGACCTCCTGAGGTCCCTTCCAACCCTAAATTGTTATGATTCTATAATTATATATGCATATATGTGTACATGTATGTATATGTGTAACGTCACGTTAGGTGCCAGTGTAGGCCTCAATCAGCAGTGGGTACCAGGAGCTCTTGCAGTGCTCTGCCTCATGAAGGAGCCATGCTTGCAGGCAGAGAAAACAGTAGAAGGAAGATGCAATGACTAACAACCGGGCTCCCTGTTCTCCAGCATGGGGGGTACAGGGAAAAGGAGCAGAAAATGGATCCAAACCTGCTCGGGGGTCCAATCAGCCCAGTCACAGCGTGAAATCTTTGGATGGGGGCTGACAACAGACTCCCTCTTGATCCTTACTAATATTTGTTTCTTTCCTTTCTCCCACCTCAGGTGAAAGTTGATCCAAGCGCAGAGAAGACTCCTACACTGGATGGGCAGCTTGCCTTTTAACATGGTTCGTGACAAGATTAGGGCTGAGGGGAAGCCATCTCCTGCCCAACTTAGACTTCCTTCCTCAGTTCAGGTGTGTCCTTCAGCCTCAGGTACCTCTTCCTCCCCCTGGAATCAACCCCTTGGGTGCATTTACACTGGTCTCACACCTCCACCAGCCCGTTGTTTGTGGTTTGCACAGCGCTGAACACCAAAGTCTCTTTTGCCCTTGGTTTGCTCTGAAAATAATGCTTTCCAGAGCTGTGGTGAATGTCCTCACTTTTCAGATACACCAAACTTTTCATTCAGATCGACTCAGTGACTACGGGATCGATCTCCACATCTGACATTGGGTTACTGCACAGCTCTGCTGCCAGCCCTGCCCCCCACGTTGTCAGTGCCCCTCACTCCTGACACACAGCCCTCTGCCCTCCTAGCCCTAATGCTGCCCCTCACTCCAGACCCGCAGCCCCCTAGCCCCCCCAACCCTGCCAGTGCCCCTCACTCCCGACCCACAGCCCCTGACCCCCCAGCCCTGCTGGTGCCCCTCACTCCCAACCCACAACCGCCTGCCCCACCGCTGTTCCTCACTCCCAACTCGCAGCCCCCTGCCCCCCAGCTGCACACGGGGGGCAACAATGGGGATCTCACAGCTGGGTCTGGGGGACCCCCTCCCAATCAGGGGTCTCCCCTGGAGCTGGGGAACAACTGGGTCTGGGGTGGGGGGGCGGCGGTTGCAGGGACCCTCCCACTTCAGATAAGAGCAGCCCCCTCCCTCACCTCACGGACAAGCCCCGGCCTCACTCACGGGTTGGAAACGAGGTGGGAGATGCACTTACCCTCTCACGCCCTGCCCCTCCCTCTGCGCATGAGCAGTAGCATCTGCCAGCTGCCTTCATCAACTGCTTCTATGGCCCCATCACGCATGCCACCCTAGAAGTGCAGTTCGCTGCCTGGGCCTGGTGCATTGTGGGAACGTGGAGCTGGCAGTGGGGGCATGGAGCCACCCAGGCAGGACGAGGGCAGAGATGACCCTATTGATGAACCTCACCATATACAACTAACAACCCCACCCCACCTTCCCACCATGCACCAGGAAAAGCCTTTGGGAATGCCCCTCCTTTCCCCCCACACAGCTGACCCTAATACCCCCCCCATTAAGAGCCAATCCCCCTATAAAGCAATTCCCCTCCATTGCTCTGCCATACAACCAATTCCCCCACAAAAGACACCGCAGGCTCCAGCAAGATCCAGCTCCATTTATTGTACAAGAACAAGTTCCAGGGTCAGGGTGCAGACACGTGGGTGGTGGAGGCGAGTAGCAGCAGCAAGAGTGAAAGCCACCGTGCAACGAACAGTGCAGGCAAAAACAGTCCCCAGGCACGTGTCTTGAAAAGGGGCAGATGCATGCAAAAGCAGGGGGGGCGGCATCGCCCAAGGGTGGGTGTAGGGGAGGGGACATGAAGTGCCTTGTATTGCAAAACTGGGGGG